GGAGCTAATAAAAATTACATGCCACAGATATTTGCATAAGTAAAAACTGAAATTGAAGTCTAGTTTTAAAACTGGGAATCCACTATAGACAAGATGAATCATAAAAACTCTTAAAAAACTATGTTAAAAGGACAAGATCCTTAAATTTATTTTCAGCTTTGATTATACAGTGAAGACCCCAAAATTGAACTTGCACATCTTTTTCCCACATCTTGTCCTTTTTTCAGTGCCACTGAATTTCTTAGGCTATATTTCATTCATGCCAACACCTTAGAAATTTCACAACTCTTATAACAACTTCCAAAACCACCCAAGCTGGGCCACAGGGTTAACTGCATGTTTCCTGCACCTCAGGGTCCTCTCTCTACTCGGGGCAGCTGTAATTGGAAGCCCTTGGACTGGGAGGCAGACAGACCCAGATTTCAGTCTGGGCAGAGCCAGCTGTTCTGGGATAAGACTCCTAACCTTTCCGAGCCTGTTTTCTTACCTATACAATGGAGGTGACCTGTAGAGTGTACCTATGTGTAGAACACTTGGTGCATGGCCTGGCACGTACAGTGTTCACATAAGTAGAATCACTGCCTCTAAGGAACTCAGGGAGGCAATTTGGAAGTCTTGGTCTGTGTTGTGATGGTTCCACCGAGTATTCAGTAGAAAAGTTAAGACAGTCTGTTTTCAGCTGGGGAGAAGATGCAGAAGAGGACTAGGGGAAAAGATGCTGCAGAAGAATAAGACCAAATATTTAAGCACAGCTAGAGGGCATGATTCAGGTCCCTGGAATCGGGGGTGGGGGTGGTGGGGGTGTCTATTCCTTGAGGAAAGGCAGAACACGCCCCCTTCCCTCATGATGAAGCTACTACTCAGGTCTGATGGTTACTACCAAAGGAAGAATTAAAATCTCCAAGGGTTCTTTCACCAAGCTTTGTTTAATCACTTTCCATTTTCCTGAGGCCATGGAAAGATCTGACAAAGAGATGCTATGGTCAAGTTATCTTCATCAGCTACTCCACAGGAACAGCTAGCTAGGTAGGTCAATTCATCTAACACTAAACTGTACAGAACACTTCTAAAGGCTGGGAATCCAGGAGAGGGGTTAAACGTGTGAGAAAGGCTGTTTATTGTATAAGTACTCAGAGCGTTCCTAATGAACAACTCACTCCTTGAACATCTAGAGCAGTGCTGTGCAACAGAAATATAATCTGAGCCACAAATGTAAGCTAAAGATGGCTCGCATTCTACTAACCACATTTTAAAAAGTAAAAGGGTGAAACTGATTTTAACATTTTATTTAACCCAATATATCCAAAATATCATCGAACATGTAAGCAATATAAAAATTAGTAATAAGGTAATTTACATCTATTTTGTCATTGTAATCTTTGAAATCTCAATTCAATTCAGACTTGTCACATTTCAAGTATTCAATAGCCACAAGTGGCGACCATATTGAACAGTGTAGTTCTAGAGTCATAGATATACATTAATTTTTGTATAAGAATGAATCTTTTAATTTTGACACTTTAGCTAGTTTTAATCCCAATAAATTGAATGGAAGGGATCTAAATTTTCTTTTAAAGGGAGGGAAATTTTATGAGTCTAAAAGAAACCATACAGAATAGTGTGAATAGAATTCTTGATGATTTTAGTCAGAGGATTGGGCTATTTAGCCTAATACAAAAAACAATGGTAAATTCTAAGTTTGATCAGGGTTGCTAAGTGGTTTTCTAAGACTCTCTCTAGCACTGCAACAGTTATTTTCCTGTGATTATTCCTGAAAAAAAAATGCTAAAAAGTAGATCTGTTAACAAAATCATAAGGACCAGAAGAACTAAGTTAACACCAACACAAGAAAATAACCTGATAAATTCAGAATGTGGAACACACTAAGACAAGGTGATCTGATCTGTCTGCAAACAAAAAAGGTGGGGGACTGCTTTAGATTAAGAAAGACTAGACAGACATGATAACCAAAAGCAATGCAGACGCCATAACTAGATTGTAGGCCAATTTGGGGACAACTGGAAAAATCTGAGTACGGACTAGCTATTAAATGATATTAGGGTCTTACTGTTAATTTTCCTAGTGAAATGGTATTGAACTTGGGTAGAAAAGTCCTTATTCTGAAGAGAAGTATGTTAAGTATTTTTGGGATGAGATATCATGATGTTGCAACTCATTTTCAAAGGTTCAGCAAAGAAAAAAACCTACATATAGCAAATACGGTAAAACGTTAACAGTTCTTGAATCTAGGTGATAGCTATTCAGGCATTCATTATACTACTCTTTCAACTTTTTGCATGTTTGAACATTTTCATCATAAATGAGATAAAGGAGAGAGAATTCTAGATTAAAAGAGACATAACCAAATGTGTTATACACGAACCTTGATTAAAACCTAAAAAAATAGCCTTAAAAAGACATTTGGGGACAACTGAAAAAAATCAGAAAATGGAGTGCATATTATATGACATTAAGGAATGACTTAATTTCAACAATGGTATTATTTTTATGTAGAGAATATCCTCACTCTTGGGAGATGAGGTGCTTGCTGAAGTAGTTAGGAAGGAAACATCATAATGTCTACAACTTTCATTGCAATGGTTTAGTAAACAAAAAAACAGAAATTTACATAAAGGTATACACACTATCTAGTTAAAGCTAAGGTGGCAGAACGATAACAACTATTAATTAACCTACAAGATATGTTTCTGGGCGATCATGTCACTATTCTTTCAGCTTTTTTGTATGTTTAGAAAGTCTCATAATACAAAGCTTTAAAAAATTCAAAGCTAAAAAGTCCATATCAATATTCCATTTTTCTAAATTTCAACAAATAGGACAAAACCACAAATCAAAACTACCTACATTTCCCACCCCCCACACAGATTCTTGTACTAGAAAAGGACCAGCACCGATGTAACATGTTTTTACTTCTGAGCCCTTTCTAGCACCAAGCATATATAATGGATATTAAAATGGCCTTGTTTGAGACCTGCAGTGTGCTGAGCACAGGAAAAGTAGATGGGCCTCATTTTCAAGGAGCTCAAAATATTATGGTGTAAAATAGTCCAAATTCTTATTTCCCAACCAAATTTTCCATTTCAGTTTGGTTTCTGAAGTTTTGTTTTTAGAGATAAGCTCTCAGATCTGGCTACCTTAGTGTTTCTCAACATTTAGAAAGCCATAGATTCCTTTGATAAATATTAACTCTCACACGCCAAGACAAGAATCACTGACTACCTTCCATTTATCTTACCAGTATTATTAAAATAAAACTGAAAGATTTCTCTGTGGCCAGGGCCTTATTAAGTTTTCCTAAGAAATTAACTCGAGAAGGAAGCCTTAACAACATTTTCATTCTGATGAGATTCACAATACCTGGCCAATGGGTAATAACCAGCCCCTATGCTGTGCAAGCAAACAATCCATCAGAAGGTACAATTGATGTTTTTATACGATTTACAAAACTACCCGACGGTATTAACTTTCAGCCACTGTCACTATTAACTACCCTGAACTGATAATTGGAATATAAAAAGGCTCTGCAGCTCAGCACTTAAAAATCATTTACTGCTATCAATTATCCATCTTATTGTCCCACTAGAGGGGAAATTTTATTTTCTATTTCACAAGTACTTCCTTCTAGTTGAAGGGTTGTTTGTTTTAGTAGTGGAAAAACATTTGCATTTAATGTATAAAGACAAAACAGGATTCCCCAGGGAAAGAGAGCAATAAAAACAGTAGAAGGGAAAAAAATCAAAACAGACAAATGATTTACATAGTTAGTGTGGGGCTGATTATCACTGAACAAAAAGAATTAAGATATGTATTCTTTAGTTTCAATTATTTCTGCCTTATCGGTATTCTGAGAATAAAGATAAAATCCCATAAAACTGAGTTCTCTATTAAATGTGTAAATTAATGATATTTCACAGCATTTCAGAGGGGGATAAAACATGCCAGGTTGCTGAGTGTTATTCGAAGGCGCAAATTTGTTTATTTTTCAAATGGTGTAAAAAGCCCTCCTTTGCAAATATTATATGTTTATCACCAAGTCTGGTTAACTAAAGCTGAACAACTATTTAACATGAAGGGTGCCGACCAAAGCTTTAAGTGTGCTTTCTAGAGAGAGGAAAAGATGCAAGGGGTAAACAGAGCCCCAGAGGTAACCATGTGATTAGAAACCAATTAACTTAAGCAATTACTGAAACTGCTTTCTCTCCTTTGGGCAAGAAAGGATCACAAGTGACACTCTTGATATAAAAATGAAAAATGCTTACATGTAAAAAGGCCAAGGCTGTTTTGGAGAAAGACTATTTTTAAGATAGCAGAACTGTTACACGGTAAAATGTGCACAGGGATGTTTGATCAACGTAGACAGAGGATTTATAGTCTATTTGTTTAGAAATGCCAAAACGATGGTTTTAGACATAAACATAGCTTTCATGGTTAAATTTAGTTAGTGTGCACAGTAAAATGGGGGAAAAACAGAACTAGGTAAGAGCAGGGAAGAAAATCACCACTAAGGCCTATTGGTTTTCAAGAGCTATTTTATGTTTCCTTACTGAATTTTAGAGAAATATGAAACTGTATTAATGTGTATCATTCAGAACTGTAAAACTCCTCAACTCTAATTTCAGCATGTATTACTTAATTTTTTAAAAAGAGAATCAGCCTGACCCAGTTCAGATTTAATTACTTTGTGCAAAGAAAGGACAGCTAAAGCAAACTTATATTATTTGGGGCTAAGTAATTACGCTTCAACATTAAAAGTACTTTTAAGATGAAACTACTCCACTACCTACCTGGTTTATCTTTCACCCACAAAATGTGTTTTAGAAAACCTAAATGCACAAGCTACAACAAATTAGACTTCTTACACATATTCTTATAAACTATTCATTCTTTTTGACTCCTGACCAACCTAGGAATCTTATTTATAAAGACATACTGCCTTAACTAAATGATGAGTCCTGTCCATTGTTTTCAAATGCACTAACCTTCTCAAAAACACTGGATGGGGTCATCAAACAAAACCTGATGTTCTGAATGATGGTATCGGTATGTCTCCAGCGTCTTCTATCATGCCGCAGCCAAGACTGCACAGCCTCGTACAGCTCTATCTCTGGGAACCTGTTCAGATGATCATTATCCAAATAAGACATGAGCTTCTCAAAGCTCAGATAAGACAGGAAGTCAGGCCTGGACATGAGTGGAACAAAGTTGTCTAGCAGAAAGGCGTCCAGCTTCTCCCTGACTCCCTCGATGTTTACACCGAAATCATCTAAGAGTCTCATAATTTCTGCACAATTCCCTAAGCAGATTTTCGCTAATAGAAAGGAGCAGCAGAACTTCACCACTTCTATAAGTTGAACATACATGGCAGCCTGAAGAATCTCATGCACAGTATTCATACTCAGTTCTATAGTTCCATAGTACATAAACTGAAGAACGTGGCTGAAACCAGTAGCAGTTAGACCTTTTAAATGAATTTTGTCCTGATCTCGCTCCCTCATGTCTGCAGTAAACATAATTCTGAAGTAATCACTCTGGGTGGCCAAGAGTGCTTTATGGGCCTGGAACTGATGATCTTCAATAACCAGAGTGACATCAAGAAGCAATCCCTCCTCATACAGTGCTCTGAACCCAGCAGAGACACTGGTGTCATGGATGGAGGAACAGAATCCTTCCATGTCCCCTGCCATGAATCACCTGGAAAAAAAGTAATCAAAGAAAACTGTGTTAATCATTTCCATGCATTCTGAAGACATTATTAACTTAGAGCTTAAACAATTTTTATAATTATCTCAATTCCACTGCCTAAGTCCTAAATGTACAAGCCCTTTGGGAGAAGACAACCTAAAGACTTGCAGACTAATGTTTTTGGCTTCCCTACCTGGGGGAGAAAAATATATTAAATACCGATCCAAAAATGGCAAATTGTTAACTTACAAACAACATATGCCCATCCTATTGATTTTACACTGTTCATCAAATATATTTAAACATGTCACCAAATTATCAACACAAAAAGGATCTCTCAGCTAAATACTAAATTATGAGGAAAAAAAATTAAACCAAAAGCACCATTGACCTTGAAAACTCCTAGAAACGTACCCAAAGAAAAGAATTAGATGAATATGCCAAGTTGTACACACAAGGTTTTTCTTTCTACCCGTATTTATAGTAAAACATTGGAAAGTATTCAAAAGCCCAATAATAGATTAAATATGGTACAGTCCTATAATGGATTACTTTAACAACTAAAAATGATGGCAGCAATCTACCTATTCTGACAAAGAAGATTAGGTATTGTTATGTAAAAAAAGCAGGCAACTATATATACACAATATATTTTCAAAAATTGAATACACATGCACAGTTTATATGAGAAAAAGTCTAGAGGAACATATACCAAAAAATGATGTCCTTGGGTAGTGAGATTTCAAGAAATTGAGGTTTATCTTTTCCTTTTTACTTACCTTATTTTAAAAAATGACCATGTATTGCTTATATATTTAAAATATAAATATGCAATTTTTAAAGAAAATTAAACCGCATTTTTGCATATCAGAGAAATGAAGCCAAGAGAGTGGAATTATAATTGGATCTCTTAACTCTTTTGCTGCAACGTTCGGATATGTTTTCCTGTGGCTTGCACTATCTAATTGATGCCACTTAGTATGTTTTGACCATTTCTGGCTAAAATTCAATATACAGTAATACCTTGGTTTGCAAGCATAATTTGTTCTGAAAACAAACTACTTATATTGCAAGACATCGCTTGTTTACCATGTTAAAATGTATTAGAAATGTTTGCTTGTCTTGCACAACACTCGCAAACCAAGTTACTTGCAATCCAAGGTTTTACTGTAATGGTAAATGTATTACCATATGACAAAGGTTTAAAATAAAAATGTCATTTATGTACAAAGCTGCTCAAAATGTTATTAAATGCATAAAATAGTCAAAATATCAACTTTTTATTTTTGTGGATTTTTGGCACATTTCAAAAAAAACTTGAAATCAACACAGTGAATGAGTTAAGTAAAGCAGAATAAACTAATTCATTATATTATACTGTTTATGAAGTGATTTTCTCCTTTTCACACAACCCCATCCCAGGCCATCTATCCTCTCCTCAACTCTCATCCTCACAGCTCCGAGCCTGCTCCCCAATAACCCATCCTCCCATCCCTGAATTCCCTCCCAACCCTTTCCACTGTGCCCAGTGGAACCTTGCACTTCAGTGTATACAAAGTTCCCTATGGGCTCATGCTGGTCACAGAAAGTTTCCTCCGCAGTCTGGTCTAAATAAGAAAAACACTCTTCTATACTCTTCATAGAACAAAATGCTCTCCTGTAGCTTACAAACCTACCTTCTATACCTTATCTTTCTACTGTCCTTTTTCTAAAACATGGCCTTTCACTCAGTTAAAAATCCATCATCTATTTCTCCTTGTCACTTATATACACACATCCTGATCTATCTCTCACGCATTCCCTACGACTTTGGAACCTGGTTAAGAGCCTTCTTCTCCACCCTCAATGCTCACACACGATCACTCATCCAAAAACCAAGAAATAAAGTTCTGACAACCTCAACTCCTATAATCTCCCCCCCTTTCTCCATTTTAAAATCTTATTCTCAAACCCGTTGGACTTTGCTACAGAGTCCAGAACTGATCCACATCTGAAATCTTAACTGTCAACTTACCACTCTCTGGCTTAACCTTCTCCTCTCTTTTCACTTTGTCAGTCATCTCCAAACTTTACCTGTGTCCTTCTCCAGCTTGGACCTTCTGGTATGAGACTAAATTTCCCAAACTCTCTCTTTTCCCTGGCTGGGTGTTTGGATGGACCATAAGCCCTCCAGCAAGGGTACCACAGTCACCTGCTCGACCTCCTTCTTTAGGGACGCCAGCAGTGCCAATCTCGCCACTCTATTATCAATGCCTCTCTCTTTATTTACTAAAAGAAAGAGCATCTGTGCATGCCAGGCACTATGTAGGTATGGAGGTGTGTGCCTTTCGGGAATCTCCTCTGCACCCTGGATTTGGCAGAGGCTCCAGGTGCTGAGTGAAAAGGCAGCTCCCAGGGACGTGCTAAAGGCACTACTTCTCCGCTCTTGTAAGTAGGCTACCACTAGATTTCATTACTTTGTTTCATCAATATGTTGTCTACACCACCCTGTTTTTAAATTGACATATTAATACATATATTCAGTAGTTATCCCAGTCTGAAGACAACTTAAAAACACCCTTGTTAATAAATGAAAGTCTGAAAGGATAATGTACCAAAATCTTAAAAGTGGTTATCTTGGATGATAGAGTATCAGGCAGTTCTCCTCTTTTCCCCTTTTCCCTAATCTGTTATTGTTTTTTATAAATTCATTTTTTAAAAACAACAAAAAGCCTAACTGCCAAATCCAGTGGTTACATCCTAGTCCCCATTTCTCAGGGTCCTTCTGCAGCACAGCATGATGTACTCCCTCGGCTCTCTTTTAGCTTCAGGACAGTTTTCCTGAATCTCTTCCAATTCTTGGGCTACTTATTTCTCAATCTCCTTCCTGGGCTCATTTTTCTCAAGCTACCCCTTAAACATTAGTGAACAGGATTCTGTTCTCGCACCTGTTCTCATCTCATCTAAGCACTGTGTCTCCCTAAATGATCTCATCTAACCCCGCGGTTTTCATTAATACCTACCTTTACCATTACCTTGACAACCTGTCCAAATCTCTATCCTTACACCAGGGCTCTATATAGTGAATCGCCTGTTAGATACTTCTGGGCACCCCAGAGGGATCTCAAAATTATCACATCTAAACAGATTCCTAATTCTACCCTCCCCCCCATCAGTTCCTTCTTTTGTAGGCCCTATCTTATCAAGAGGCATTCTAGGTGTCTCTTTCTCCCCATTTGTCCCTAACTTACCTTTAAGTTTTATTGATTGCACACCATATGTTCACTTACCTAAGACAACAAAGTGTGCACAAGATGAATATCAAATTTTTTTTAGTACTCCATTAATCCAAAAGCTATATACTTTCATTTTGTAAAAGCAGAGAACAAGAGAGCTAGCTATAATTTTGAAAACAGATATAACATATTTTAGACACTGTAATCAATGCTTGCCAGAACTACTTTACTAACATACTCCAGATTAAAGGAAGCAATCAAGTTTTTTACTGAATTATTTTTAAAGGTAAAATTAACGAGCTTAGAATTTTCCAAGTGACACGAGGCTTATGTATACAAATGCATATTGGAAACAAAAGGAACATCATACAGTGTGGTGTCTGAACAATCAAACATTCTGGTTAGTAGAGGGCTATCAACATTACACTAATTATCCATTTTCAAAATAATCAGAATAAAAAAGTAACGAAGTAAACTGGATAAAAAATTTGATATTTCATTATCTTTCTCAGGATCATTATGGACACCAATTATCACTCTGACTCATCAAGGCATATTGGTCACATTTAATGAAGATTTAATAATAGAAGGCTGCACATCAGCCTTCATATACTTGACAGTAGACTGCTTTGTGTTTCATTAATCTGTTATTTTGACAGTGCCTAAAATACCAAATATTTCACTTCTTGTCAAAGTAACCCTCTCTATTCAATGGTTATCACTATCTGAGTAAGGTTTCAAACAGCTAATACTCCCTTTTCTAAAAAAGACTCCATCTAAAAGAAATTAAAAACAAAAATACTATGCTTTCTCTAAAAAAAGCAATCAAGGTTCTAGATACTATGGTGGAAACATCACAGAGCAAAGCAGCAAGAAGAAAAAAGAGGAGGAGGAGGACTGATAAGCTGTGAGTCAAAAGACCTAAATATGTAAAGACAGCACCCGCTCTCCTCTGGGCACCCACAGCCCACCAAGGGGGGTTCCCAGCAGGCAGGCTTCCACTCCATGATCCTGTCCCCAATCACATGTGGTCAGACCCAGGTGGGAAACATGAGCCACGACGAACACTCTTTTGTCAAGAATTTAGAAATGAGGAGAGAAGAAAGGGAAAAAGAGACGTGCACTGACTGTGTATGACTGGAACTGGAACATATCAAAGAGCAGCTGTGAGCACCAACTTCTGCCTGCTCCGTGGGCTGAGTGGCAGAGAAAGCCAGTCAACTGAGAAAGAAGAAAGGCAAGCCGAGAAGAAAGGGAGCACTCTGAAACACCTTCATTTTTCAAGTTCCTAGGTCCAGCTCTATTTCTGCCCTTGGGCTCTGAGAGAAATCTTTACATTCTTAGAATAAATTCTCCTTTTTTACTACCTGAGGTGGGTTTTCCCTACATATAACCAAGATCCCTAATAGTTTTAGAAGAGAAATAGCTATAACTTTCTGTAAGTTACTCACTTTCTTGGACTTATCTCTGCATGTAAAAGGAAAGCATTCATCATGATGATCTCTAAAAATGTTTAATCACAAAATTCTCATTTATTCTTTTTATATGACTTTACAGATGTGTACTGCACTTATATAAATATGCAGAATAAACTATAGCTATTTTTCAAGTCTTAGCAATGCATTTGTGAAGTTTATCTAATCTAAATTGACTTCTAAAACTAATTTGTGATGGCTGGGACATACACAGTAACTTCTTTTCTACATGAAAAAGCTTGCTGCACCTATCAATAAGACTAACAGCTTTAGAGCAGCAGCAGTATTTTACACTTTTATGGGAAGCATGTGTCTAAGTAGAAAGTGATAAAATACTCAGTGATTAACTGACCAACATGATATAACTCTCTAAATGGAAGTAAAGAGTACAGGTCTGGAGTCAGATACCTATATTTGAATCCTGGCTCTACTTCTTATTAGCTCTGCGACCGTGGGGCAAGCTACTTAGTCTCTCTCTGCTCTACTGTCATTTGTTAAAAAACAAAAAACAAAAAAGGAATACTAATATCAATAGAACCTACCTCATAGGTTGCTGTGAGAATTAAATGAGTTAAAACGTGTAAAGACTTACAACAGTATACAGTCCTTAAGTATACCATAACGTTAGGGCTTATTATTATACCCCTTTCACTTGGTGCTACTAGAACCAATATAATAAACCTGACCCCCTTTAACAGTTAGTTAATTGTGGAGAAACCCTTCCCCCTAGCAACAGCACTTAGAACCCCAGCCCACCCACCTTCTCAGCAAAGCCTCTCGGGACCCAGGTCAACTGTAACTAGATAGATGAAGACAGGTCCACAGATGAAATTTTTCTTCAAGGTCATATAACTACCCTGTTTCCCTGAAAATAAGACCTAGCCAGAAAATAAGCCGTAGCATCATTTTAGGTGCCAAAATATGGCCCCTTGGTATACTGAATATTTTAAGCTGAAGGAGTTTGTGGAAAAGGCACCCTTCTCCCTGAAACAGGTCATAAAACCCTCATGTGAGGGGCATGTGCTCTCTATATCCTGGAGGAATCATGCTATGGCTTATTCTCTGGCTAGGTCTTATTTCTGGTGAAACACGGTAGTTAGAAAGTTAAGACTCATCTGATTTCCCAAAAAAAAAAAAACACAACCAAAAAACAATACAATCGTGTGGTTAGAAAGAGCAAAACCTTTGCAATCAGACAGAGAGCTTACTAGTACTTACCACCCGTGTGACCTGGAGAAATTTAGTTAACTTCCTGACCTCAGTTTCCATCCCTATATTAGGAATAATCATCATCTTATTGAGTTCGGGTGGTAATTAAATGAATTAACTTAAGTTAAATGTCTAGCCCAGAGCAAGGCACCCCACCAAGACTGCCTGGCTTCCCTCCTCCAACTCTTGCCTAGTGCTCCTATCACCCACAAGACCATAGGAACTTGACACTCCTCCAACACCCCTCTGTAGACCCCATACCACCCTAGGGTTGATTACAATGCAAGTCTATAAGAGATCAGGAGATGCACTGGTAGTCAAAACATGACCTCATTTTGCAGTGACATTGTTTTCCATTTCTAGCTTTTCTGGGCTCCTTATGTTTTTCTGCCCTGACCAGCATAGCTATTCTATCTGTGCTGTTCAATATGGAAGCCACCAGCCATGGGGCTTTTGAGAATTTCAAATGTGGTTAATCCCAATTGAAATGTGCTGTGTGTGTAAAATGGACACCGGGTTCTGAAGACTTAGTACAAAAAAATGTAAAATATCTCATTATAAACATTTTTATATTGAATACATGTTGGAATAATTTTTGGATACATTGGTTTAACATATTAAAATGAACCTCACCTATTTTTTACTTTTAAACTGTGGCTCTGAGAAAAGTTAAAATTACATACGTGGCTTGCACATTCTGTCGGACAGCATGGATCTATAACATCAATGTTTAAGACATCAAACAACCAAACTTACAAATGAACACGTGAAACAAAACCAACTTGTTCACAGTCCATACCCTGGAAGCTACAAAGAAAAGGAAAAAAAGTGAGGCTTAAGTTAGAATAAAACAAAAACAATACAAAAACACAAATAAACCAAATAAAAAATAAACAGCTAGAAAAAGGAAAGTGTAAGAATACAAACAGAAAAATACACAAAATCTTATGCATAAGAATTCTCTAAATAAAGAACTATAGTAATTTAAGGAATGAGTAATTATAAAAACTAAAACTAATCACTCTAAACCCAAACAAAACGCAAATAAAAATTCTATAAACCAATGAAGGCTGTGGGAAGCGGGAATCTGTTAAGGGACTTTGAGAAAAGACATGTAATGACATACAAAATGTTCAATGTATAGAAATTCTGTATTCTCACTTTTCAAAACAGATCATCAAATTAAGGGAAATCATGGTTTTTAAACCTGTACACATATATATTCTACACTTAGCCTTCAGAATTTGAAATGGTAGGTTTTTTGAAAAGGGGAACCAACTCAAATTAAATGACAAGGCATACTTATGCTACTAGGAAATAAATATTGAAGAGTTTGTCTTGTTTCATAAACTTGGTACTGACTAAAGAAAAAAGAAACTCTCACATATTCTACACATAAGAACGATTAACATAGTAATTCTCAAAATGTCGTCCAGGGACAATTGGGGTCCTAGTTCCCTAAAAGGACTTTACAAGGTCAAAACTATTTTCATAATAATAATTTTAAAAGTTATTTGTCTTTTCCACTTATTCTTTGTTTTCCAGAGACTACATGTGTGATACCTTAACAGACTGAATCTAGAAGCCATAAGAAGCCCACTGTCTTTTATCAAGCCTGACATTAAAGAGATTTGTAAAAATGTAAAACAATGCCACTATTCTCACCAAGTTTTCCATTCTTTTAGAAAAGTTATTTTTAATAAAAAAAACGTTATTTAAATTAACACGTAATGGGTTTTTTTAAATGAATTACAAATAAGTATTTTTTTTAATTCCCAGTTTAAATTTCTACTGGGTTATCAGAAAAGTCACGACGCATTTTTGCAATGAAAACGTAAGAAAAATACGTCATGACTTTTCCGACAACCCAATATTATGGTAAATATAAAAAGCTACAACCTACACACACAAAAAAGCTCCTTGGGATCCCAATAATTTTTAAGACTATAACGAGGTCCTGAGACCAAAAGGTTTGAGTACCACTGACTATATACAATGATAAGAGATAAATGACAACACACATATACATACACCAACCTACCTCTTCCTACCTCTGCCTTGGAAGACTATTACTGCTATTTATATCACAAACATTTCTAACAGTTCAAACTCTCTAGTGACTAGTAAAGAAAGAAGTCTGGTGGGGGTAAAACTGGACAGGAAATTAAAGGCAAAGAAATTAAATGCTTCCTTTTCAGTTAGAAGGCCGCTATTCTGATTTGAAGGCAAAATTTTAGGCAATTAAATAGAAGTTGTCTCAAAATTCACCTCCATGTTTATATTACCATAAGCAATAATTTAATGCTTTCACAGCCCCCCTCAGCTGCTTGAAAAGTCATACAAAACCCTAAGTTATTCAGTACAAAAGCTACATTCTCTGCAGTTGATATACTTATTTTCAAAGAAAATTTTAAATTACTTCATACTACCTTCATCCTCAAACTGTTAGCTTACCCAAGTTGCCCAAGTTGATGCCTATGCAGAAAATGCCATGCATGCATACTAAAAAGAAAATGCAAGGCTTACTACGAACAAAAATAGAATTAATTTCTGAGTCATAAAATTTCTCACAATTTCTATAACCCATAAAGTAAAAATCTTAAATTCAAAACGTCAAAGCGGCCAACTTCTCAAATTAAAAGGAAAAAAAAATCTGAAACTAGGCTAATAATTAGTACTCATTTTACCATCAGTTATACTACTCAAATTGAGAAACATCTCCGTTTAATATGGGGGGAAAGGTTGTGTTAACTTTAATTTGTTTAATACTGGAAATTCTCCCTTGTCCATCAAAATGATTTTATAACTCAGTACCAAATTGCAAATGACCGTTTAACCAAGCTTTTAGGAAGACTCTGGGTCCTCCAGCCTCCAGGCTGGCACCTATTATCCAATTACTTAACTTTTCAGGTATGTTTAGCATTTAGTAGCCGTTTGATACACAAAACCTTGTAAGAAAAAAACCACTCCCGCTTCAATGCTATTTTTTCATCAGAAGATTTTAATTTAATGCTCCTCTGCTCATTCCTCTCTACAAGTAGAAGTAATCCAAGGGTGATGTCATGGAAAACAGCTTCCCTAGCCTTTAGAGATTGGATCCAGTGAGAATTCTAGGAAAAACCTCTATTGGGGAATACAACCCCAAATCTTGTCATTTATAGCCTAACTTAAAATCATCAATACTGTAATGTTAACATTTTAGTTCTCCACAAGAATTAAGCCTTTTGGAAGGTCTCAATGTTATGATACAGATTCCCTACAAATCTTTAAATAATACAGAATCATTAACTAAATTCAATGATCTTACCATAGACAACGAATAAATTTTCTATCTGTTCTTATTTGCTTCAGTGATTCAGCCAGATGAGCATTAAAGGTCTTATATTAAAAAGAAAAAATGTGAGGAAATATCTTGTCTTTTGTAGTTTATTCCAAAGTGAAAATTTCTAATTTTGAAAAGGCCTTCCACTTTTGGACCAGCAGCAGTACAACATATACCCAGGGCAAAGATGAATTATGAGAGCCCCTCCAATGACTCCTGAAATGGCAGTAATTCTCTCCTATTACTCTCCCCCTTGTTCACCCTGCCCCAGATACACTGGCCTCTTTGCTGTTTCTTGAAAACCAGCCACACGCCCACCTTAAGGCCTCTGCACTTGGAGTTCATTCCCTCTGCCTGGATCACTCTATCTCCAGATATATATGGTTCCCTTCCGATCTTTACTCCAGTGTCATCTCAATGAAGCTTTCCCCAAACCCCCTCTTTAAAATCGAAAACCCCCCACATGCCCCATCAACCAGAAAATCCTCACTTTCTTTATCTGCTTAATTTTTCTCCTTAGTACATGAAATGGAGATATAAGCTTATTTTCCTTATTCAGTTTACTTCTTGTTGTTTGGTTTTTCTTTCTTTTTTTTTTGTCTTGTTTCATTGACTATTGTATCCCCAGAACCTAGAAAGAGCAGCGCTTGGCACGTAAGTGCTTAATAAATATCTGTTGGATAAATAAATTTAATACTCACAACCCTCCATGTTCTGTAACCATCCCTGATTTAAAGACAAGAAAAATCAAAACTCGGGGTTAAGTAAATTGCCCAAGGCTTTGATTCTTAATACTAAGTGATGGAGTTGGGGTCTGCCTGACTTCAGAACCTTCACATTTAACCAACTATCCTACAATGCTTCACCAATGACTCTCTCATTTTTCTTCAAAAAAAAAAAATTCCCCGCACAAGGCAGAACATTCCAATTCAGAGGAAATACATGCTAATAAATTAATCTAACCCCTCATAAACTAAAGATTTATTCTCCTCACAGTTAATGTTATTCACTCTCAAAACATTTACAATGGGAAAGGGCAACCTTGACAATGGGACAGCTACATAATTTTCAGGGCCCAGAGCAAAATGAAAATGCGGGGCCCCTTAAAATGAAAATGCGGGGCCCCTTGTTCAAAAGCAGAAAAAAAAGTATCATTAAAGGTACTAAAACATTAAGCTTTCTCCTTTCTTCTGAGGTCTCTCTTGACTTGTCGTGGTGTTTTTTTATTTGCTGTTTAAGTCGTTCTAAGTAAAGAAAAATTAAAAAACTTTAATTATTAGCATGAATTTTACCATTCACCTTTATATTGTACAATGCCAGTTTTATACGTAGATTATTATTAAACCAAGTTTGGAGCCCATCTGAGCACCCATGAAGCCAAGCTATCCATGGTTCCAAGATTTTAGCCCCATATAACCAAGGCAGAGAGGTCAAACCTTAAAATTTCCAACAAAGCAATGATTTACCAAAATTTTGCCTTCAAGACAAGCGATAAGTCCAATACATAAAAGCTAACCTGTTCAAGTAGACGCTTCCTTTTGCTAATTTAGTCCTGCCCGCCTTATATTTATTCTGCCTTTTTAGGAAACACAAAAGCATACTCTGAAAGATAACTGGTATTGGACTATCAATTTAGTAAAACATCTCCAAAAAACCATTTGTTAGCTAAAAATAATATACTAAAAAAAAATGCTTCTTTTTCACTTTTTGTGGACCATTTTTAAAGCCAAACCATACATTTCCGATGTGTCGAGTAAGTATTACTGACCTGTTACACATATATATTATAAATTCTGACAAGTCCAATTTTCAAACCACAAATATTTACTATCCTATTATCCCTCCAAGTTAATCAGCAGTCAAGAGTGCAAATTAACATCCTTTACCACTGAAAAACTCATTCTAAGCACCTAAATGTTGTGATAATTAAGAGAATTAAATTACATAAATATTATTACATTGTCAAAAAGTTGAAATTTGGCATACATTTCTATATCTATTAAGAATTACAGAAACCTGAATGCATTTATAAGGTCTTCAAAAACAATTTACAAATTATAGAGATATTTAGGCATCCTGTTCCCTAGACATGAAAAATAGGCATTAAAATTAGGATACATAACTTAAAAGCATTTTCTGAATTACAATTTAATCAGATTAACAAAAGAAAACATAAATTCGGCAAATATAAAAGACTAAACAAATGTAAGGTGTTAAATAAATATTCCGAGTAAGAAAAGGGACATAAGCGGCCTAGAAAAATGAAAAGCAAAGAACTACAGTAATGTTAAATTTGAATTAAAAAATACCGTTATTTAAATAAGCAGTTAGCATTTCGTAGGAAGAAGGCCAAGCAATGTGACTATTATATATCTAGTCGATTCACAGCATTGCTTCGATATTCCGGACTTATTGCTTATACTCATAATACAGAAATAAAGAGGCAGCAACAGTTAGCCACTACAACATTAACCGCTCTGGCAACGGTTACTTTAAAAATTGCCTTCCATTTTAACACTTTACAGCTATAGATTATTTTCATATATATGGCTTCATATAGTCCTTACTATCCTGTGATGTGGCTATTACTGACTAGATTTCATAGATAAGAAACTAAGGCTCGGTAAGCGATTTTCTCAGAGTCACCCAGTCGAACCCAGACCTTCTCATTCCACGTTTTATGCCTCGCATTTCGCATAGTTTTATTTCAGGCAGAAATAGAATTTTTAAAGGGAAGGAACGGGGTAGGGAGAAAATAATCATGGTACCTGCAGCTGTGTGCTGCAAAAAATGGCTGAATTATGCTTCTTCCTTTTTTTCCCCCCTCCTTGAAAAAAATTAAATTTCAAACAATTTAAGTAAACTCAAAGACAAATTAGGTCCCGGCGCCTACCAAATGTTTGACTCGGATCTGTGTGGAAAGGGCTACCGAATCGGTGCCGACCGCGGGCCCGCGGCCGAAGCCCGGGCTCCCGCAGGCCGGAGGGCCAGGGGCGGCTACGCACCTCGGGGGTCTGTACAACCTCTAGTGGACGGCAGTCTGCATCAGGAAGAAGCGGGCCGGCGGCCGGGCGGTGGGCGGTCGGGCGCCGGGACGGCACTCGGCAGGCTCCTCGAACGTCTACAAGGCGCCGCTCCGGGGCCGGGCTGAGGCGCTCCCGCGGGGGGCGAGTCTGCGCGTCTGCGGTCCCCTCGAAACCAGTCCTGGGAAAGAAGACAGCGCTGAGTCGCGAGTCAAGACAGCCGGGCTCGGCGCGGCGTCGGGGCCGGGCCCAGCCTTGCCAATGCCAGGGGCCTCGCGACGCCCAGCGAGGTTCGGCCGGAGGGCCGACTCCGGGCCGCGGGCGGGGAAAGGGGTTGGGGGGCCGCAAGTACCAGGAGAAAAGCCGGCAGTGGAGGCGTCGACGACGGCGTCTCCGGGCTTCTGCCCCAAGCGCGCCGAGGCTAGGGATCACCCACGCCGGGGGTGGAGGAAGGCGGGAAAGGGGCGGGAAAGGGGCGGGGCGTGTGGGGCCACGAGCCAGGGGCCGCTCCGGGCCGCGCGCCCCCTGTGGGCCACGGGGAGCCGCCCGGGGCCCGCCCAGGGAGGCGGGGCCCGCCGGCAGGGGGCCCCGTGCGCTTTCGTCTCAACGCGGAAGCCTGCCACGCGGGTAGCGAGGTCGAAGGGTAGGAAGCCATGAGATGCAGATCAGGCTCTAGAGGCGCCCTCGGCCCCCGCGGGGGCCTCAAGGGGGCCCCGCGTGCGGGCGGCGGCCCAGAGGGTGTTTACCTTCCCCCTGGTCGAGCGCCAATGCCGCCATCTTTCAGCCAGCGCGCGTCATTTCCGGCGCCGCGGGAGCGGGAGCGGGTGTGGGAGCGGGGTGGGGGCAGGGCTGTCCCACGCCCGCGGGGCCCCACGTTCCGGCTGGCCACGCCAGCGGGACCCACGGAGAGGGTCAGGCTGCACCGTGCTGCGGCCGCGGGCCCGGCCGGACGCGCCTTACCTCGCCGTCGGGGCTGGGATCGCTTAGCAGTGCTAGTGCGCGCGCAGAGGTCCCTCTTCGTCTGCACGAGCGGTGGGCTCGAGCCACTGCGGTGCTCCCACCCTCAACAAGTTTAGGGTTAGGAATCCCGGAAAATGTCTTTTGGCATCTTGCACTCGGTGGGGGTGGGGGAATCGGGGACGACGTGGAGGGAGCTTTGCTACATCTACCTGTGTTATAAAAGTGACTACATCTGCGCCAAATGACATCATTTTTGCCGGCAACTTGCAGGGTATTATTGCGTCATAGTTCCACTTGGCTTATTGCACAACAATTACACGTTTCAGAAATACGTTTTCCAGAGGTGGGAAAAATTCATAAAAAACGGCATGTGTGCACTGCATATAGAAATGCCGGATCCAAAAACGCCGTTCTGTTTCTATTTGCGTCAAAATAAGATGGCAAGAACTAACATTCAGAGGGCAGTGATTTTGGGGCGGTTTATTCATTTCTAACAAATCGGCTGCAGAATTGTAGCTAATGCTGTTTAAATATCGCCTTTTCTTGATTTAGAATATACATTATAGGACTTTTGTAAATTGTTGTGAAATCTCTGGGGGGCAAGTATATGAAAGAAATACACAGTTGGAGGCCAGTGGTGCTACAACTAACCTTAAATTGAGTCGCCCATTGCCCATTTCATATCCTAAATGGAGGAATTTCTCCTACTCCCCCCTAACCCCAACCCCCCGCCGCCATTTTCTCTCTAGACCAATATCCCGATGCATTTGCAGTGAGATGTGTAGCTAAAAGCGATCATTATCTCTTTCTAGCAAACTTGAACATGTCATGTTTCCCAAGAGGCCAAAACAGCACGTGGTGTATGTACTGTTTTGCTGAAGTAGACTACTTCGTGGGGGAAAAAAAATAGAGAAACACCTTAATCTTCTGGAAATAGGGAAATAGGCGTCCCTTTTCCCATTTAAACTATAAAACAAGCTTTAAGAAACTAGCCATAAAATAAACTTTAAAATGGCATACATTCAACTTTGAACATTTGAGTTTTCATACATTATTCCTGAACATCTAAGAGAGCTGATTTTTGTACATTGGCTAACAACATTTCGAGCTAAGCATATATTACATAGTGTGGAACTACCCTGTCTAGAGAGAGAGGTCAAGGCGGTTCTTGATTCAGCAGGAACTGAAATGTCTGTGTTTGTGGAGCACAAATATATCTACAGTGATGTCGTGAGCCACTGCGATCCATACACCCTGATGACATCACATAGTCTCATCTGTGACATTTCATTACATCCAAAATATACTTTTTTTATACTTCACTGTTTCTGAAACTGGGCTGTCTTTCCACCAGTCTATATATTTACTATGTAGAGCCCACCCCTGGGAAAAAAAGTTATCTGTAATCAGTGATGCCTCTTTCACTCTCAAAAAAAAAAAGAGCATTTTATAGAAGGGTCTGGTACAGTAAGAAACATTCTGCTTCCTCAAGACCAAGCAAAGTAAAATCACATCATTTAAATAAACAAACTCCTCCAGATAATTTCTGTCCTCAATTATTTTTCCCACCAATTACTGGAATAATGGGAGTTCCTAAATACCTTGAGGACATCCTTTCACACAAGTAGAGCCCTATGGGGCGGATGGAAGCTGTCTTTTCTTAGCCCACTAGCTTAAGTATTTCAGAATACAGCCCTCAAATCCGATATCTAGCAGTCCCAGATGTCTGGAGGCAAGTTAGAGGCTTGGGACTGGGAGTGGTAGTGGAGTTGGACGGAAGTTCCTACCCAGCAGTCTTACGATTTAGGATACTGTATACCTACTCTTCCTCCCCCTTTTAAAAGAAGGCTTCGCAGAAATCCAGAGTCAGTGGTAATCACTTTTCATGTAATTAGCCCCCACCCCAATCAATCTCTGAGAATTGAAGATTTATATCTTCAGCAAAC